TACACATAAGGTGTCATGCACACCAGAAAATTAAAACGGCTGTCACGGTTAAACTACATATTATTTCGAGTCCGAAAAATTAGTGAATATTCTTCAGACGTTCTAAAGTAAAGGTGAACAGCGTTTTTCTTAAAAATATCACTGTTATGTAGTTAAAAAAATCCGGAAAGTTCTCGCTTCGTGACTTGTTGAATACTTCGAACGCGGCTCGAGTCCGTCCCGACCTTCTGTCAAAGCCTCGTCCAGCGGACTCTCTCACGGACCCTCTCTCTCGCACCGTCACCTATCATTGGCCAGTGTTTTTCCTTAATAACTCGTAAACAAAACCGCGGATTGCATTTTCGCAAAGGAGAAAGTTACTTCAAATGACCTCAGCTACCCCTCATTTTCGGCTGTTAAAATAATTGTGGGACACCCTGTATACAATCAAACTTCGATGGAACTGATCTAAAACCAACACTACACGGTGCAAGCTGTTTAAAAAACGCGAAAAAACCAGCATGTCTAATGTTCCCCTTTAATGTACATTTTGACAAAATAGAATACAAATACTTGTTTAAACCTTTTCGGACGTTACATTCTAAAATTCACAATGATAATTTTGTGTTTATTTATACTAAAAAATGTAGCAACTTGAAACGGCATTTATTATATGAAATGTTAAAACACGTTTCAACTAGGAACGTTATAAAAACATTTCATAATAAGATAACACAGAAGTCATAAGACGAAATACACGAATTTTCAAAAAAATCACGACATCTCGGATCTAACAAAACATATAAGAAAATTAAGAAACGATATCATTGGATCACAATAAAGACAGATATTAGAAATTATATAAAATCATGTCATTCGTGTCGGATTAATAATACAATTTTCAAATCGCCTAAACAACCTATAGAGTTTACGAGTACGTCCGATCACCAATTTGATAAATTTGCCATCAACATTCTGGGGCCATTTTCTTTAACAGAAACGGGAGACAGATTTATTCTCACTGCACAAAACGAATTAACTAAATATTGTTTCGCTAAAGAGTAGCTAAAAATCTAATTAAATTATTTATGCAATTTGGGATCATAAAATCATTTCTTCAGGATTAGAGCTCAGATTTTATGTCAAATTTAATTAAAAACTTAACCAATCTTCTTAAGACAAAGCTCGAACGTTACCATTTAACTCCCAAGAACTACATAAAACACTACATAAAACCGAAACTAGAAATTGAACCCAATTACAAAAATCTACCAAAAATATATAAAAAAATAAACTCCAAAGTCTCATGCTAAACGGTCTTATAATATTCATTGTATAACTGCCACTCGTAAAGAGAACAACCTTTGAGTTTTACCACTTAATTCCTTTACCGATGCAACATAAAAATACTTCCATTTTTTCTTTCATCACTCCACGAAATCCGTATCTTCTTCTGTCATAATCTAAATCTTCCTTTTCTCTCTTGTCGGAATTAACGAATTATAACGAGTATCTGGAAGGAACGCACGTATGTGTCACGGGACAGATTTCCGAATAGACGTAAAGTATTTTCCGCAGAGAATACAAGTACAAAATAATGCGCAGAATGACGGCGATACTGACGGAGGTCGGGAAGTTTGAAATAATGTAGATACAACTAGGTTGACACTGAATCCAGAACTACTTTATTGGGTTTTTTTGTGGCCTTTTATATACGCGATAGAGTATGGGATTAGGGCTATCTGGGGTCATATTCCATGGTGACACACCAGGCAAGATACGGAAGTCTGGCTTCACGTATGCACCGACATACATATCACAAGGACTAATCAGGACTCTACCTGCAAGATGGACCAACCATCTCACATGGTTGCTATACTTCAAGATTGGTCCACAAAACCCAACAATGCCGACAGGAAAACGTAAATATATGTACCGGGAATGATCAATGGCTCTATGTCCTCTGTGAGCATCAATTACTCTCACAAAAATCTGTGGCGAAGGTAAAACCACTATGAAAAATATAGTACCACATCAAACAGGCATGCTACAATTACATATTACAGTAAATTCGTCCCAATTTTCCTTCAGATTGTAAACAAAATGGACAATTAGGGAACTGGAGATACGATTATTCGAACTTTGCACCTCGTTTTTATAATTGTTGATAATAGGCAACTATAAAAATAAACCGCGAGGCTCGAATAATCGTATCTCCTCTACCCAAGTCGTCCATTTTTGTTTACAAGCTGAAGGAAAATTAGGGAGAATTTACTGTAATTGTTCACTGGAACCGACGAGTCATGTTAACAGAAACATCGCGAATTCTGTTCCTTCAATTAACATAATAGACGACGATTGTTGTATAAAAGTTACTCACTATATTCTTCGTATCTCCTTAAGGTCACTGAATACAATAAAACTAACTAACATCGACCTGAACGATTTAAAATTCACAAATAAGAAACTCAACAAATTCGACGAGTTGCTGACACATCAATTGGAACAGCCAATTTATTGTCACACAGACGAATTGGTACACGATAGCACTGTGCGTGGTAGAAGCTGTTCTATTCGTTATTTTCTGCGCAGACTGCTGTCACTGACTAGGATGATGGCATCGAAACTATTGAGATGACTTTGTTGCTGCACCAGAAGTCTCACTACTGAGAAAATCGTACCATTAATAATTAAAAATTTCGTCAACTACAGTTTCGATGCTCGTAATCACGCCAAGCATAGAGAAAATTCCAACGAAATAGTTATGAACGAAAGCCGTAGCAGAACATAAACTCCATCTGACATCCATAGAAAACACTACCAACATCGAATCGATCATCGATTAGTGCTTGTCGATACAATGTACGAAGCAATAATAAATGTCGGAAAAGCACAACTGCTTTATAAAATAGATCTAAGAATGTATACATGAACATATATTTAATCGCTATCATCATTATACCTAGTAATATTAAGAACATTTGCTTTTTGGCTTAATTAATTTTAAATAATGCCCATGTTAATTAAGACAAATATATAATTCACAAATAGAATGCGTAGACTAAAGAGGGACGGTGTTGGTTGATAATGATCAAGGGATGTCTCACTGTCCACATTGAGTCAACTTTTTAGACTCCAACTCTATTCAGCAGGGTAGTCATATATCTCTCGCTCTCTCTCTCTCTCTCTCTCTCTCTCTCTTTTTCTCTCTCTCGCACTCTCTCAAACTCAAGATGAGATCACTCCCAAATCCAAAATCTAATGAGCACAGGCCTCTCAGAACTGAGACCTTAAATACAGTCTACGCGCCGTATAATACCACTAGTATAATATACAACAGTGTTTTATTCAATTCGCCCGATATCCAACATAAGACTTTCGCAGGTGTCGCCAAATGATTCCTAAGAAAACAAACATTTAATAGTGAATAATATGTACCTTTCTCATCCTCTAATTACTCGATTTTTACAATTCAAGTTTTGATTTTCGTCAATGGATAAGCTGCTACATAATACAGCAATTATAAGTGACATTTGTTCGTAATTAATAAAGTTCCATTTTTCAATTTGCGAGTAAGTTGAAAAAAGTGACTCCATCATAGAAAGCATTATAAAAACTGAGCGCGCAAATGAATTTTCGAACAGCCAGTAGGGCTCCACCCGAGCCGAGAAGGAAAATTCGAAGGTAATCTTCTTTTGCAGTTAGAATTCTTTTTCTGAATGTTGAATCTCCTTCCAACGCTGGAAAAGGTTCTTAAATTCTTCTGAAATACGATGCCCACTGTATGCTTTTTGACGAGTTCCGTCGTGTCACAGCGAACCAGTAAAATCCGAGTGTTGCCGGTCTCTCCATTGATCTCTGACGGAACATTACAAGCGTGCGCCAACTTCGCCTATTACGACATGCACTTACAATATTTAACTCCTAGTCGTACTTTGNACGACGATTGTTGTATAAAAGTTACTAACTATATTCTTCGTATCTCCTTAAGGTCACTGAATACAATAAAACTAACTAACATCGACCTGAACGATTTAAAATTCACAAATAAGAAACTCAACAAATTCGACGAGTTGCTGACACATCAATTGGAACAGCCAATTTATTGTCACACAGACGAATTGGTACACGATAGCACTGTGCGTGGTAGAAGCTGTTCTATTCGTTATTTTCTGCGCAGACTGCTGTCACTGACTAGGATGATGGCATCGAAACTATTGAGATGACTTTGTTGCTGCACCAGAAGTCTCACTACTGAGAAAATCGTACCATTAATAATTAAAAATTTCGTCAACTACAGTTTCGATGCTCGTAATCACGCCAAGCATAGAGAAAATTCCAACGAAATAGTTATGAACGAAAGCCGTAGCAGAACATAAACTCCATCTGACATCCATAGAAAACACTACCAACATCGAATCGATCATCGATTAGTGCTTGTCGATACAATGTACGAAGCAATAATAAATGTCGGAAAAGCACAACTGCTTTATAAAATAGATCTAAGAATGTATACATGAACATATATTTAATCGCTATCATCATTATACCTAGTAATATTAAGAACATTTGCTTTTTGGCTTAATTAATTTTAAATAATGCCCATGTTAATTAAGACAAATATATAATTCACAAATAGAATGCGTAGACTAAAGAGGGACGGTGTTGGTTGATAATGATCAAGGGATGTCTCACTGTCCACATTGAGTCAACTTTTTAGACTCCAACTCTATTCAGCAGGGTAGTCATATATCTCTCGCTCTCTCTCTCTCTCTCTCTCTCTCTCTCTTTTTCTCTCTCTCGCACTCTCTCAAACTCAAGATGAGATCACTCCCAAATCCAAAATCTAATGAGCACAGGCCTCTCAGAACTGAGACCTTAAATACAGTCTACGCGCCGTATAATACCACTAGTATAATATACAACAGTGTTTTATTCAATTCGCCCGATATCCAACATAAGACNGCCTCTCAGAACTGAGACCTTAAATACAGTCTACGCGCCGTATAATACCACTAGTATAATATACAACAGTGTTTTATTCAATTCGCCCGATATCCAACATAAGACTTTCGCAGGTGTCGCCAAATGATTCCTAAGAAAACAAACATTTAATAGTGAATAATATGTACCTTTCTCATCCTCTAATTACTCGATTTTTACAATTCAAGTTTTGATTTTCGTCAATGGATAAGCTGCTACATAATACAGCAATTATAAGTGACATTTGTTCGTAATTAATAAAGTTCCATTTTTCAATTTGCGAGTAAGTTGAAAAAAGTGACTCCATCATAGAAAGCATTATAAAAACTGAGCGCGCAAATGAATTTTCGAACAGCCAGTAGGGCTCCACCCGAGCCGAGAAGGAAAATTCGAAGGTAATCTTCTTTTGCAGTTAGAATTCTTTTTCTGAATGTTGAATCTCCTTCCAACGCTGGAAAAGGTTCTTAAATTCTTCTGAAATACGATGCCCACTGTATGCTTTTTGACGAGTTCCGTCGTGTCACAGCGAACCAGTAAAATCCGAGTGTTGCCGGTCTCTCCATTGATCTCTGACGGAACATTACAAGCGTGCGCCAACTTCGCCTATTACGACATGCACTTACAATATTTAACTCCTAGTCGTACTTTGACGAGTCATGAACATTTCAAGTAACAATTTGTTGAATATAGAAAGTTATTCTGTCCTTTAAAATTGGAATCAAATTCTAATCTCTTGTCATCAATATTTAAGCATTGAAGTAAATTCAGCGTCATAAATTCATGAGCGTCAATTTTCTTTTCTTTCTAAGAAATTATTGCAATCAAATAATTTCCAATCGCAGTAACTGCGAGGAAAATGGTATGCTAAGGGGTTAAGTAAAGCAGATGCAACAGACCAATTTGATCGAACGAATTTCGATTTACTTTGAACATTGTAGGGTTTGAGAACTTTCCGTATGCAGTAAATTCTCCCCAATTGTCCCTCAGCTTGCAAACAAAAATGGACAATTTAAGAAGAGGCGATACGATTATTCAAATCTTGCGACTTGTATTTATAGGTGCAATCTCGAATATTCGTATCTGTTCTTCCCAAATTGTCAATATTTATTTAATAGTAAAAGGACGTTTGGGGAGAATTTACTGTACTGAGCAATCGAATGAACATTCTTCGAACGGAAAATGTAAACAAAATTTTTTTAATCGATGCTTACCTAATTCCAATTTTTCACTTTGAAATTCCCATTTGTTATCGTAAGGGAGGAGATCTTTCTCATTATCTGTAAGGTCATATAAATTGGTGAAATTGTAGTGGAATCAAATGGCACCGCGTAATACGACAAACTGAACTTACCCTTTTTATGGGGATCTTTGATCGCAAAATGAACTACGACAAATGTAGCGAGATATTGAAAAGCACAATTGTCGAGCAATTATAGCTAATATGATGAGTAAAATGATCAGACCTACAGGTACTCGTTTCTCTTCTAATTAAAAGAGATTTAAAGTCAAATAGTTACAACATATCTCAATACTTCTCAATTTATGAAATTACCTTTTATTGTTATCTGTCGATAAACTTCTACATTTGCAATACGATTTTGCACTCGGCACACGTACTGGCCGCTGTCGAGTTTCACTGGATCTTCTATTTCAAGTTTTTGGAAGTTATTGAAAAACCTGTATCTTTCATTATCAGCTACCAATTGCCTACCGTCCTGTGTAAAGTATGTCGATTTTCAATAGCTTGCATCGAGATCATCATGTAGTGAAATAGTTAAATATTAAATGAAATATAAACAGCGAAGTATTGACCCGATTTAGAAATTAATGAACTTACTTCAAACTAATCGCCTACCTTGAACCAAGTGATGCTCGGTTTAGGCACACCAACCGCGAAGCACTTAAGATTCACTTTCTTGCTATCTTCTGTGTTAACGTCAATGATTATATCGTCGTTTTTCAAATTCGTATCAGTAATAATAGGCGCTCGGGCAGCTAAATCAAAGATGATATTATGGAATAATTCATAATTCAATTTTCAGGTATTTACGTTTCTAATTACCTTTCACTTCCAAACGATAATCAATAGATCGAGACATATTTTTGGCGGTTTTTCCTGCACAATTATATTGCTGCGAGTCGTTCATTTTCACGTCGTGTATTTTCAAAATTGATCTATAGGCGAATTCAGTCTTCTCTCGATCGATAGAGATTCGGTCTAAAATTTTCAACTAATTACTTTCGGTTCTTTTCAATTTATCGTTGAACTTTACTTGTTTTTAAGATCAATTTTAAAGAAACAAATTTTATAATACGTTCTTAGTGCTAATATCAAAAATAGAGTTACCAGATTGTACAATCGGACCCTTCTCGTTGCTCCAATCGAAGATGTCCGAATAATTGTAAATCGAAGCAGCACAGATCAGCTCCCATTCGTCGCCTTCTACGACTGTATCCTGCGTGGAAAAGACACCGAATTCCCCGACTACATCTAAAATATTTTCAAGCACAATGTAGCATTTGAAGAAAAAGTGATCGTAGGGAAATGTCCATGAGTCGAATTCTACTCGAACAGGTGAATGACGTTAATAAAACATATATAAATATTGATACATTTTGCAGTGGAATCCAAGTGAAATCATGATCGATGTTCTTTCGAATACATAGTATGTATTTACTTAAACGAAAAAATCGTAAGTTTTTAAAGAACTATGGATCTCCCTGAAAAATAAAAATTTTCGAAAGCTGAAAACATATGCTGCTTTATCTCTCTCAATGATTTTTATGTATAAATTAATTCCTTCAAGAATATTCTTAAATAATCTGTATAAATTGTAAGAATCAAGAGCCAAGTAACTTTCTTTCTCCAATGATTTTGCTAAGATAAAAATAATGCGACAGCATTCATAAATACTTCCATTATCTTTTAAATTTGATATNCTCCAATGATTTTGCTAAGATAAAAATAATGCGACAGCATTCATAAATACTTCCATTATCTTTTAAATTTGATATTTCAGTTATCCATCTTTGTGTCGAAAGAAATCTCCAATTCAAGAATATGTTAAAAGTCAACACTCTTGCACTAAATCACAAGAAATGGTTTGAATATAGTTTTCAACACTTTACCTCTGTCTCCACAATCTCTATCTCTACACACAGCAGACTGTAATACTAGTTTCTACAACACGGATTTCTTGAACGCAAAAATTT